TTATTTTCAACCACACATTCATACAATAAAATATTTTACACGTAAATCCAAAACATTTTCTCTATTTTTCAACCATACATTCTCCAAAAATTTACTATTCAAACCTCGACAAATAATGGCCGTCAAACATGGGTTAAATTATAGGCTCAAATATAAGGTATTGAGTATTGACAAATATTTTCTCGTACAATACTATCAAGTAATTAAGAGTTGTAAGTGCATTCTTTGCATTGTTAAGGAGAGCGATCGGCAACTTTTCATGTAAACTTACTATTTTTATCGATCAACGTGTTTGTGTGAGCTTAATGGATGGGATTAAATTTTCATTTTCAACTCTATTATCCCCATTTACTTATTAATTTATTTTTGTAATGTTATTTCTATTTTAAAAATGATTTAAATTTAAAATATTAAAATAGACCATTTAAACATCTCTATGTGAACTACAATCAACGTTAATTGCGTTTGAATAAATTATCATTTTAGATAAATTATACTTGTTCTTATTTATGAGCAGAAAATCAAAACAGTAAATCTGTTTATACCGAATGATTCACCATGTACATCGTCCAGATGCGGTGCTAGCGATACTGCATTAGAAACAGGCAAAAAATTGCAGTGTTGGCAGCCAATTCAGTACTGCCAACTTGCATTGACTAACAACACTACTTTTGGACCTTATACATGGTGATTCACTTTGTACAAGTAGCATATCTCAAATAAAATAAGGTGATCATGAACCCATTACAATTTGTCTAGGTTGTACGGAACTTAAATTGGAATGGGAGAACATGCAACAATTTTGACATAGTCGGTTTGTTTTCTAATTCTTATATTTTCTTAGGTACACAAGAAATGATTAATCAAATTTTTGTCTAGCTTGTACTCATCAATATCATTAAAGAATAACATAATCTGGTTAAAATTTTATTTATCGGTATGTTATCTTTTCTAGATCTTTACACAAATTTCATTTTCATAAACGAAAAGACGAGAGTGAGTGCTCCTTCTATCATGCATCACATTTTCGAAGAGAGAAGAAATTAGCAAATTTTCAATAAATCTTATATTATAAGCATATGTTTGATATAATGTACTGAAATCGCCCACTGTATTAACTTATTTTTTCTATTTTCAATCTTATTCAGTTTAATAAATTGAACGTGCCATTAATATTTGTAATAGGGAACTCCAAAAATTAGTCTCTTCATGGGGAAAAAACATGGGTTTGATTTCATTTTCATTGAGGTGATATTTCTATCAATTATGGACTGATTATTACTTGTAACTTGATTTTATTTAGTCATTTTAAAACAAATTTCTTAAAATGATTGGATGGAAGGATGAGAGGTAACCTTCCTATTTATATCATTCATAGCATCATTTTTTTTTTTATCTAAAATTTCAATTCTTCCACTTTTTATAAAATGCGAAAGAAATAAGCCTTTACACAACTCTAAAACTCGATTCACTCTTTTATACTACATCTCTATGTCACCAACACTAATCTTTTTCGATTAAGAATCGAACAATCTTTCTCATATCATGTGAATCCAATATTTGTTTAAGGAAAATCTCTCTTTTTGTCAATGATTATCCTTGTCATTTACTCTAGTACCTATCACCTTGGTTTTAATTGGTCATTTTCAAGCATCTTAAAATGGTCTCATGTTATGCTCCGGTGTTTTAGTCTCATATTGAGACCTATTTTTGGCATAGGAAGTGATCGAATTGGAGAATGAAGTCTGAATTAAAGTTGTAGCCAGATGAGTTAGCTTTCCAACGTATTTTACATCGCCTCAATAGGACATCGGAATACAAAGTTATGATAAAAACACTGAAAAAAGGTGCAGCTGCCTGTTTAAAAATTAAAACAAGAAATTTCGTTACATAGTCCGTTATATTGAGACCTATTTTTGGCATATAAAGTGGTCGAATTGGAGAATGATGTCTGAACCAAAATTGTAACCAAATGAGTTAGATTTCCAACGCATTTTGAATTGCCTCAATCGGATATCGGAATACAAAGTTATGATAAAAACACTGAAAGAAGGTGCAGCTGCCTGTTTAAAACAAGAAATTCTGTTACATA